AATGACCAAGCTCCATCTTATATAAAAAGTTTTGTAGAACCCTACACTACCAGCAGAATTCTCCGTTCTCAGAAAAAAACATCTTCTAAAATCTCCAGCCATTAACTTACAACTTGGAAAACGTTCCTTTTCTTGTGCTGGTCCTTTTCTATGGAATAGACTACCACAAGTCCCCAATGGACTCGTTACTTTGGCGTTCACAAGGGGTATTCGTTGAGGTTCGCAAATCCGTTCGTTTGACATTTTGTTCTCTAGTCGGATAAACTAGTGATCAGGCGACGGACGGTATCTGGTCAGATCTATTTATCTCGACGATCGGTGCCTGGGAATACTGTAAGACAGCATTTCCGGCAGTCTATTTTTCAAAATTTTCTGGGGGAGGACTCCCTACTTTGACGCTCGTGAGTGGGCTTCGTCGTGATTCGCAAGTCCGTTCGTTTGACACTTTACCTCATCGATCAGTGCCTGAAATACTGCCAGGTTGCATTTCCGGCAACTTGTTTTTTAAAATTATCTGGGGGAGGCCCCCTACCCCTAGTCGAAGCTCGTGCCTTTGCCCCCTTAACCTTGCCCCAGCTTTGCCCCTCCAATCACCGACAGCTGGCGCCGCCACTGTGAGTATATAAACAAACAGAGCCTTAAAAACTGTTTTCTTCTTCAGTATTAACGCGCTTTATAAATGACGATATTATTATTATTATTATTATTATTATTACCTTAACTTGATCTGTCAAACAATATTGTTCGTCGTTCGACTCACTGTACAATATGTCCACCCCCTTCACAAACCACACGTCAGGCCTATTTTTACCTGGAAAATCCAGGCTAATATATATATATATAGACAGGTACGGGCAAACCCGATTTCTTATGCAATAGTGGACATTTATTTAAGTTACTATAAATAACTCTGAATTTCAAGTGCTGACAAAGTTAAAACCTTATTTACCACACCATCTTAGAATTTTATTTTTCAACTTCAAAAACGTGCGGCTAGGAGCATTTTGGATGAAAAACCTGATTCACATTCGTCACCTTTGTTTGAGTCTCTAAATTGGCTTACAATCCACCAACGCATTCAATACAACCAAGGAATGCTCACCTTCAAAATTCTAAGAGACAAATTACCATCATATTTATATAACACATTTTATGAAAATTCTAAATTGACCGAAACTACCATGACATTGAGATCGGAAAGTCACTTAGTCAACTTGAATTAACAATTCCAAAAAGTAAGAAAATAGACAATGACATGTCTGTGAAACATGCGTCTTCAAGTTTTATCTTCAAAAAGGAGTTAGTAAAACATGTTACATCTTTGAACCCTTGTTTTATATATATATAATTACTTTTTTTTCTTGTTTGTAAGCTTATATATTATGATATATATGCACTTTGTAAATATTATTACTGTGTAGTTGCTAGTTTTATAGAGTAGGAAGGACATGTTGAAAATTAGAAATCATGTACTAAATATGTTCCCTCAGAAAATAAAGTCATTATTATTATTATTATTATTATTATTATTTAGTAACTGGATAGAGCAATCAAATATAACACATACTTATAGAAAACAGCTGCTACTATATATTTAGTGACTGAATACAGCAATATAACACGCATACCCTACTGTTCTGTTAGTCCCGAAATGACCTAGTTTGTGTCGAGTGGACGTTAAACCCCATTTCTCTCTCTCTACTGTTCTGCCCCGACTGGGCTAATGAAGACGGGCATACGCCATACAGTGTGCTATGAGGGAAATTTTCCCCGTATAGCAGCACTATGGTCTACTCTTATACCGGATTCCAACTGCCAAGGGATCTTTTACGTGCATGCCAATGTATACAAGGGACCTCGGGTTTTCGTCCCATCCGAACAACTAGACAGCTCTCCTTGTCAGGCCCTCCGTTCTGCACCACTGACAAGGGGAAACCACGTCGAAAACATACTTATGGAAAAACAGCTACTAATATTGATAACGATATTAATCTTTGATGCTTCTTACATTACTAGCTGTTGTTCCATACAGTATGTGTAATAGTTTAATACAATACATATATTAAACTAGATTTAAAGAAGATTTCTTTATTCCTATCGTGTTTAAATAATAATGATATCATTACCTTGAATAACTGTACTTTGAATTACTTATACCGGCTTCTACAGATGATATTAGAAGATGAACGAATTAATTTTACTCTGTGATAGTAGTCTGCGTTCTACAAGACTCGATTACACAGTCTCTAGACGTGCAATGTTTAAATTCATGTATGGATATGCAAATAAATGACTTAATAACAAGAGCTATTAAACTGGTTTTCCCCTTACCATAAATAGATATTTAGTCATATATCACATGTTTTAAGCGATGTAAGCGGAGTTTGATATAACTTATCCAAAAGGTAACTAGTGTGTGAAATTTACATGTTCAAATTGGTTAGTTTAATAAATAGGCTAGTAATATAGCCTATACAATTACAGACCTTATGTTCATATAACAATATATACCAGTACAAAATTACATACCTATATGTTCATATAACAATATAAACAATAAACACTACCTTGTAACAGTATATGGTCAAATAGTTACTCGTTTCCAAGAATTACACAAGTATAGTTTCTGAGAAGCCAGTATTCCTCGATATCTGCTGTTTAAAGTTATAACAGTTATATCATACATATGACCTATATCACTTCCTTCACAGTCATTATTTACATTATAAAAGAGATATTTTCAGTATACGCAGCTATTGTCAAGTTGTTGTGCATTACACATGCGTATGTACAAATAAAATGAAATGGGGCTCAACGTCCTACAGTTCTGCTCCGTTTGTGCTAACGGGCAAACGCCATGCAGCTTGCTATGAGGGACATTTTGCCAAGACAGCGGCTGTATGGCCTACTCTTATCTCGAATTCAAACTGTCAATGTTTCTTTTACGTGCATGCCTATGTGTACAAGGGATCTCGATCTTTCGTCCCATCCAAACGACTATACGTTGTTGCGTGCAAGGTCATCCGCCCTACAAGACAGACAAAGCAGAATCACGCCGGAAAATCTCGATGAACTTTCTCGGCCAAAGCAGGGATCGAACACGGGACCTCTAGGTTAGCGAGGCAACGTCCTAAGCACTGTGCCATAATGGCTCTGAATCAGCCTTACGGGTTGGCGTATAGTATTGACAAGTCCCTAAATTACTTAAGAATGAATGAAGTTTAACGTTCCACTTGTCTGCACTGACTTATAATCATCAATAAAATATTGATCTAGTTGTAGATTTACTCTTTGGCCTGTACCTTAATTACAGCCTCTCTTGCTACAGTAAGTGTCAATTGTTATCTTAAAGATACATTATGGGAGATGAGATAAAGAGATGGCAGTTCTCGCTATAATAGTTAAAAACTAGATAGTGTAAAGGTAATTTGCTGAAAATTTCAGTCAAATTGATCCACTATGAGCCGAGAAAGAAGCGGGTGAAATTTTTGCATAGTCTCGGTCATCATTACTAAAATCATTAATAAAAACAGCATTATCCACTTTTTCTGATATAATTATCAACGGCCGTTAGCGGTATATAGGAATCTAATCCAGCCAACATCGAAGGCTAGCCTTGACATCGAGAGTTTATTATTGTCTGGATAAGTTAATTAATGTCTAATTGATAATTTAGATAACATTTCAGGCCTAAAGAAAGACTTGTAATAAACAGATTTTGCTCTTGCATAATGCATGTTTAATTACAGCCTCTAATTACTTTCCATGGACACAAATTAGAAGAGGGTAATTTTTGATGATATCTTTTATTCATTGACATTCTTAACAAACATTCCTGGTCATTTTGACATTCTCAATGAACCATGTTGGTCATTCTGACGTTCTCAACAAACTACCCTGGTCATTTTGGGACTAACATACGGTAATTTTAATTTTCTATGTTTACATTAGTCCAGTTGGTACAGAAAAGTTGAACGATAAACCCCATTTTATTTTGGTTTTAGTTTGTCAAGAATATCGCTATCTATGAAATTCTGTATCGCTTAATTCACATTAATAAAAAAAAAAAAAGGTTGGAAAAAACTACCATGAAATTAGTCAGGTAGGTATAATGAAATAAAAATAGAAACTTTATCGCGATCAACATGAACAGATTATCCCGGTGTCGTTTAGCCAGTTTTGAACACTCGTTTAGTGTTGGAATAAGCTACAACCCCCAGAATACAGCACTACAGCAATAGTCATGAATTACGAGGTAAACTATATGCTAGATAAATCTATAGTGTATTGTTTGAATATATAATTCATGTAATAGAGTGATGTTTAGATGTCCGTCTACACGACTGTATATACATGTGTGTTTTATAATACAAGTATCGTATGATACAAGTCAGGTCACCACGCCCCGTGGATCACGATTGGACAAATAATCAAATAATGGCAGACGTTCGGTGTAACCAAGAATACAAATAATGATTACCCTTAGATTTATGTATTTGATTTCATATATTCTATATAAAAGATTCACCCAGCTATAGCCTATATGGTATATTAGAATAAAAACCTATCATTGCAGATAAGATTATAGTACAATATGCCTGTCGTATCACAATGGATATATCGTATTTCAATAGATTTTATAATTACTGTATTCAACAATATTTGGCTTGGTGATTCTTTTTTTCTTTTAAAATATAAAACATTGTTATCGCCTACTCCACATAGATTTTGTTTTGCTTCTGTTATTTTGTCCCCTTTATCAGATATTTTGATGTCTAGATGTCTTATGAAGAAAGAAAAGTTACAATTGTCCCAGATATTGCTATGTTATTATCCGAGTTAGTTGTTAGATATACCCTTGTAATAATAGTGTATTAACACATCGATGACGTGAAGTATGTATTATTAGAAGTCAATATATATCATATCTACATTACAACTTTTACAAAACTAACATAAAATATTTAAATTAAATAAACTTTAAATTACATGTCACTTACTTTATTGACACAGGCTTCAATATGATAATAATCCTCTCTATAGAGTCTTTTATTTCAACAATTTAATGGCGACGTTACAGTTTAATTTACTTCCTAGTTGTATCAGGGGTTGGTATAATAAAATGATTGGTTGCTATATATTAGTATTTATCTGAAAAAGGGGTGGAGCTTATCATTGACCTACAGAATTTGAATAATATATCAATAGGGAGATGCTAATTGTAGGCCGGTTGTAGTAGGTGGAAATTAAGAAGAATACCACTCCTTGAACCCGACCCTTGACCCTGGCTGACAGCTGTCAATCTGTTATCATGACTACGTAAACCGAATATGGGAGGGGCGATATCTCCTCTACCTTTGAGTGATTCTCTATAGGTCTACTCGATTGAACGTTCCAGAATTGAATTCTCGCAATCCCCAAAATAAGTGACACTCGAGTGAAAAGGGGTATTTCGGGTTATAACGCATTCGTCAGCCGAATAAGAAAATATCTCAACCAACCATGCAGGCCAAACATATTTGTTGTGTTTAAACACGTCACTATTCTATTCACATCACCTCCGTGGTGAGGACTGACCGAACTGTGACAGGACCATGGGCGTCACACATGAGGGGGTCGGGTCTGAATATAATTGGACCCCCCCCCCCCACAAAAAAAATAACAAAAATTACATAGTAGGCCCTAACTCCTATATAATTACAACAATTATGAGGATAAGTTAAGATTCTATCTGTATAAAACCTGTACATATCCCAATATGTTGGTGTGATGTTTTAGTTTAACCCCGTAAAATATGGCAAAACAGTGTTTACAGAAGACTGAAACTTTAATATTTTTTATGGGGGTGGCCCCCTCCCCAGTGGGAGGGTGACCCTCCCACATCTCCCTATCGCACTACATCTTTCATTTCTGTCCTTCTGGACGGCGAATCGAGCACCCCCTAAGTAGCTTGCCTACAAGGTACTGTAGTACATTACTAATACATATATTATAGTATCATAGACTAGATTATATTAAGATAGAGTTGATACAATATTATTTAAGAAATCATAGAGATGAATACAATACATGTACGTTAAGCAGGGGCGGATCCAGGGGGGGGGTTCTGACGCTTCCGGAACCCCCTCGCGATTTTTCGGTGCCCTTTTTTCCCGAACGGACTTCCATACACCGGCAGATATTTGGGCCGGCAAGTGGCGACGCCGCGCGGTGAATGAAGACGTCAACGTCATACAATATGGCGACCCCCTTGCCAGACGGCAAGATGAAAATTTTTCGGTAGTTTTTGTTCCTATTTGCATCTAAAATGCCGCGACACGATCGTATCAAAAGGAAAAGGGAGGAAGATAAAATTGCTGCAGCCGCTCAGTGTGCCAAAATCTTTCGGTAAGTGTAAAATTTTACTGCATTTGTTGATTTTTAAGGTGAAGAGAGTAGTCTGTGCAGCAGTCGCTAGATATTTACCATCATCAATGTACAATTAAAAGAGCATTTACACACTTCAAGCTTAGTGATTTGGAGGGCACATTAAGGCCTAAAATAGGGCACTGTTACGTGAAAATCATGGGTCTAAGGGGCACATTTTTTACCGAAACGATATAAAATAGGGGCATCTTTACATCAAAGGGGCACTTTTTGTACCTAAATGATTAAAAAGGGCATTTTAATGTGATACCCTTGAATGAGGAGGGCACATTCAACGCCAAGTCGATATACAGAGGGCATTTTAACGTCAAAACCATGGATTGCAGGGGCAATTGAGGCCTAAAATAGGGCACTGTTACGTGAAAATCATGGATCTGAGGGGCACATTTTATACCGAATCGATATAAACTGGGGCATTTTTACATCAAAAGGGGCACTTTATGTACCAAAACAATTAAAAAGCGCATTTTAACGTGATACGCTTGAATGAGGAGGGCACATTCAACGCCAAGTCGATATACAGAGGGCATTTTAACGTCAAAACCATGGATTGCAGGGTCAATTTTTACGTCAAAAGGATTCAAAGGGCATTTTCACGTCAAACTCTTGGATTTGGAGGGCACACTTTATGGCGAATTTATTTAAAGAGGGCCTTTTTATGTCGATCCCATCGATTTGAGGTCAGATAAAAGGTCTCAATGTTTTGTTTTCAGTCCAATAATTCTTTTTACGTCAAAAGGATTCAAAGGGCATTTTCACGTCAAACTCTTGGATTTGGAGGGCACACTTTATGGCGAATTTATTTAAAGAGGGCCTTTTTATGTCGATCCCATTGATTTGAGGTCAGATAATAGGTCTTAATGTTTTGTTTTCAGTCCAATAATTCATGGTTCAGTATTTTGCATTTTAAGTAAAATAAAAATTGTTTAAACTTACAATATTTCTTTCTCATGGTATGTGGAATGTTGTTGCAATGCTGTATTATAAATCTAGTTTTATGCCTCTAAAACCCACCAGAGTGGCTTAGAATGGTCTGATATTTAAAAAAATTTCCCCAGACCCCCCGCTAGCGCGCGCCTACGACGCCCGCCAGTCATGGTTACTGTATTAGACAAAAATGGGGTGCCCTTATTTGAAAATGGGGTGCCCTTATTTTTTGGGAACCCCCTCCAGCTAGAGCCCTGGATCCGCCCCTGTTAAGGTATGTCTTTGAAAACTAAACAAGGTTAAGTATATACATACCAACTTTGTTTGATTCTAATATATCATATACAATGTTATAAAACCCCAGTTATTACCTTGTCTTGATCTGTTAAACGATTGTTCAGCTATTGCTCGATCTACTGCTTACAATATAATGTCTAACCCTTTAACAAACGACACATCAGGTCTATTTTTACCTGGAAAATCCAGGCTTTTAGACACGTACGGGCAAACCCGATTTCTATATTTAAAGATGCATTATGTTGGAGTTAAATGTGTTTATTACAGGTCTTTATATAAATTATTATTTATTACAGGTCTTTATATTAGCTTCAAAAGTTATAAAAATTATTATTTAGACATGTATTCACATGGCAAGCCTATGATCAACCCACTCTAGAACATCGGATGGCGGAGATTTAAACGGATTGAAACTCGGTCTCCATTTTATTCTGTCTTTGTATCTTTAAATAATGAATACTAATGGGAGAAATTGGTCAGGAAGACAAGATTTCTTTGAATTCCTAGTGCCGAGGAATATACAAAGATTTATATATGGCCTCAAATATTGAACAAGAAGGATTTAGTCTGTCCAGTTTAAATGTTGTACACATGAATCGAATGACAACAATTGGTGCCAACGTCAAACTCACCCATAACCAAACCGCTCCCTCACCCACCTCAATTACAAAAACAACGAAAAGAAAATCAAAAACAAAAAAACTCTGATAATTCGCCCCACACCGTTTTGCAAAAGCTTCGTGGGGTAATATCAACATGAAATATATGTTTATTTCATAAAATTAATTGAAAGAAGATATATTTATTGATATCTATGACAATAAAAGCTCCAATTGTACAACCATATTAATACAATAATATTATTTTTAGAGGTATTAAGTAACTGGATAGAGCAATCAAATATAACACATACTTATTGAAAAACAGCTACTACTATATTTAGGGACTGAATACAGCAATATAACACTCATACCCTACTGTTCTGCCCCGACTGCGCTAATGAAGACGGGCATACGCCATACAGTGTGCTATGAGGGAAATTTTGCCCGTATAGCGGCACTATGGTCTACTCTTATACCGAATTCCAACTGCCAAGGGATCTTTTACGTGCATGCCAATGTATACAAGGGACCTCGGTTTTTCGTACCATCCGAACGACTCGACAGCTCTCCTTGTCAGACCCTCCGTTCTGCACCACTGACAAGGGGAAACCACGTCGGAAAACATACTTATGGAAAAACAGCTACTAATTTATTTGGTTGAAGCTGGGATACTGTCACATCACCATATTGATAACGATAATAATCTTTAATGCTTCTTATATTACTAGCTGTTGTTCCATACAGGATGTGTAAAAGTTTAATATAATACATATATTAAACTAGATTTAAAGAAGATTTCTTTATTCCTATCGTGTTTAAATAATAATGATATCATTACCTTGTATAACTGTACTTTGAATTACTTGTATCGGCGTCTACAGATGATATTTTACAGCAGAAGATGAACGAATTAATTTTACTCTGTGATAGTAGACTGCTTTCTACAAGACTCGATTACACAGTCTCTAGGCGTGCAATGTTTAAATTCATGTATGGATATGCAAATAAATGACTTAATAACAAGAGCTATTAAACTGGTTTTCCCCTTACCATAAATAGATATTTAGTCATATGTCACATGTTTTAAGTGATGTAAGCGGAGTTTGATATAGCTTATCCAAAAGTTAACTAGTGTGTGAAATTTACCTGTTCAAATTGGTTAGTTTAATAACTATACTAGTAATATAGCCTATACAATTACATACCTATATGTTCATATTACAATATATACCAGTACATTATTACATACCTTTATGTTCATATAACAATATAAACAATAAACACTACCTTGTAACATTGAGATAGTCAAATAGTTACTCGTTTCCAAGAATTACACAAGTATAGTTTCCGAGAACCCAGTATTCCCCGATATCTGCTGTTTAAAGTTATAACAGTTATATCATACATATGACCTATATCACTTCGTTCACAGTTTTTATTTACCAGTGCCGGATTGGGCCCACCTAAGCGCATTAAAAAAAAGTGGGCTTAAGCCTATAAAGAAAAAAGAGAAAGAAAAAAGAAAAAAAAGAAAAGAGAAAGAAAGGAGAGGGGGGGGGGAGAAAAGAAAGAAGGAAGGAGAGGACAGGGCACAGGACAGGAGAAAGAAATGATTGGAAGAAAAATGAACACAAAAAAAGAAGTGTACTACAAGAAGAGAATTAATATAGTAACTAGAATTGCGCGCAATACTGAAGGCTTTCACTGTCGCCAAGGCGTCACACGATCGCCAGATATATGACAAAAGACTATCCCCACCACTCCCCCCACCTACCCAAAAAACCCACACTCTAGCATAACTCAGATATTGACCCCTAAACATGCTCCAACTCGTTAAAATACGCTGTTTTCAATTTTCGATCTCTTTTTTAGGCTACCCATGACAATTAGAAACATTGT